TACCCAAGAGTGATGCATTTTTGTAGTTTTGTTCTACTTGTTAAGACACAATAATTTATCGCATTTCTGTCGCTAAATTTTAAGCTTCTCATCCAATTTTAACAAACGGCAAGTTGCATAGTGTCCTATGGATTGGCAATGAACACTAGAAAAAAAACTATAAAACTACTATTTTTAAAACTGGGACAGGATTGTTTCGGCCCATCAAGTCGTAGAAATTCTCCTATTCAGCACCAAAACGGGGGCTAATCAGTGCAGAAGTTATAGTGTTGGTAAAATATATAAATAAACAAAGGAATTTTTAAGCATTTTTTCCTACAGCCTAGAGAGATCCAAGCTCGCGACAATTACTTCGCTGGATCAGAGTGGGTTTCATCTGCATTATTCTGGCTAAAGTTACTGAGACCATCTGGACGTTTCAGAGCGAGAACTCGCTCTGTCTGTCCTGCTCTTGGGATGCTCTGGTGGAGTCATAAAAAGCCCCCGGGCCCGGGTCACATGCTTTCATCTATTATTGGTCGTCCGTACAATCATTTCTTCGGAAGGGATCTTGAAAGTTCAAACAAGATCACTTCACCTGGTGATTCTGCAGTGTGTGATTCTGTAGAGAAGTCACATCAGAAAATGCTGCACTGCAGAAGCAGCACACAATCTTGACGGCTTGCGCCACAAGCTCTGGGCATGGAAGCTCCGCACGAGAAACTGCGCGTCCATCTTCAGCTTCCAGCACACCATTGGACTCCTCTTGCTTGCTACAAATAAAAGGTAAATGCGGTAATAAGTCAGCACATCATCCTATGCGTTGGCACCGGGCTTGATGAAACCCTCGTCTGGAAGGAGGTCACTCCTCATCACTTTTTTATCAAAGAATCGAGCTACTGCTGCTGTTATCCGTTACAGAGCCTCAAAACGAAGTGTTTCAAAGTTAAGTCCGGACTTTCGTACCTATCATTTTTACATCTTGCGTATTATTCTCTATTGCTAAGACGAAGTATAAATACTCTAAATCATCGTGACAGTAAGTTTGGAGCCCTCTTCACCCTTCGCTGCTTCCAAGTTCTGCTAATGTTTATCGAGTGGTCGAAATGCCGCACGGGAGGACTCCTAGCAGAACCAGCGACGTATCTCGTCAAACAAACTGACTTTTATCGGTGGTCATGTTGTGGCCCAAACTGACGACGGGGGGAAGGGGAGAGAAGATGGAGTTTAAGCTGCTGCCTAAATTTCCTCCAAGTCTCGCACAGGTTCGACCCATCTGGAATATAGGGCAGTTAAGAGGGAACAATCTAAATGTAATGTGCAAGAAGGCAAGTTTGGGATGCAACACGTGAGAGGCACTACTACTCGCCTGGCATGCTCAGCATTCTGGCAATCCCCCATAACTCGCCACTGACAGTCCCTCAATACGTAGCACCTGCCTTCAAATAGCAGAATGTTGTAACCAATTTTACTTTTCATTGGTTACTTTTCTGCGCTGCTGTGTATCACGTAAAAATGCAGTGGTACGGATCTGCATAAGTATGCACAGGACATACCTATTATGTGCACGTGTGTGTCTGCGTGAGAGGGTGTGTGTGTGTGTGTGCATTTTGTCCCGGAATTTCAATTCGGGAGCCGAATGAACCAGAAAGCTGAAATTTTAAGAGAATGTTCCTTCTTCACGTGTGGCCCCACAAATTTAAATTTAACTTTCATGTACACCTACGCCTCACGCACGGACACGTGAAAGTCAAAGGGAGAAAATTGTCAACTCGGGAGCTAAGAAGATTAGGAGATTGAATTTGTACGGGGTTATTTAAAACGCTTACATGCAACTCAAATATTTCAAACTCAGCTCTCACTGGAGTCTACGTCTCACTTACAAGCACGTGAAATTTTGGCAACGAAATCACTAATTAGGTAAAATTTAAGAACAGTGTTGTGTGTCCATGTGCGAAACAGAAAATTTTAGATCCAGCATCCACAAGCGCCTACGTTTCAAGTACAAACGCATGTACTTTAGCAGAAAATTCTCCAGCAATGGAACCAAACAAGGCAGAAAGTCGAAATTTTAACAGGATGTTTCTCGCCCATGTGTGATTCGAGAAATCTTAGATTAAGTTTCTACATACGCCATCTCAAGTGTGGACAAATGTAAGTTTTAGCCGAACGGAACATTCCGACGATTTCTGCACATACCGAGCGACAGAACAGTGAACCTCTCTAACAACAAACATCCGCTAGAAAAAATTGAACAAAACGCTATTTATATGCTTGAAAAACTGCGGTGTTATTACCGTGGCATATAGTGTACCTCCAACGTTTTGTGACTAGTGCATGGCTTTTGTCCTTTACTTCTCGAACTGATAGCAGTTAGTGCATCACCGGCTTGGTAAGACCAAATATGGTTGATGTTTTTCCCGGGAAAAATATATAAACAACGATGTTAGAGGGGAAGTTAGAACCTGGACTTTGCTTCCATGCTTTCTGTTTTCCAGGAGTAGTGCAGTCGCGGCTTATGTAGTACTTCGAGCTGCTAACAAATCTCTCTTCGTCCAACACGATGGTATGTAAGAAGCGCGTTTACAATCGCACATAACTTTACAAGACAGTAAGTTCCTGGGAGGAACTTATTGTCTTGTAAAGGAAGCATATTACGAAGAATTTTACAAGCACACAATAAATAAATGGTTGAAGAGACGAACATTCTCTTTGAATCCAAATCGGTTTCCTCACCGGAATCTGAACTGCAGTTCTCTATCACTTCATCCTCTGCAAAAGTACTCCTACCAGTTTACGCACTTGAAAATTAACTCTACCAAACACATCCTGGTGTTACTGACAACTTTATTATCAATCAAACTGAAGAAATGGTGGAACGTAAGATGATTACTGTTGTTTTCATTAATATTATTTCTATCAATATTAGTTTTATTATTATTATCACTACTATTATTAGTAGTAGCAGTATTATTAACAATATTAAGGGTTTTTCAAATACCAAATACTGTATTACGCATACTTTAACTTTTATTTTTAACTTTTCTTCATTCAATTTTCTTTCTGTTAAATACACTTATTATTACTACCGTCGTCATATTGACGAAGTCCAGTTGTGGTATTAAATAAGAATGTACACGAACTAATGGATTGGAACATTTCTGTTTAAATTTATCATTCTCATTTCAATCGTTTTCACGAATTGTTCTGTTTTAAAATGCACCAAATACTTTTTTATTAGAGTATGACTCGGCTTCGGTCATTTACAGTAATTCCGAATAATAATGACGAAGTGGTATCCTGGCCGAGTTACTGGCGACAT